TACTACTATTTTTTCTTGTTTGTTGAGATAGGCCTGTAGAGCTATAAACTTCCCTCTCAGGACTGCTTTCATTGTGTCCCATAGGTTTTGGATTGTTGTGTTTTCATTGTCATTAGTTTCCAGGATGTTTCGAATTTCTTCTTTGATTTCATTGGCAACCCAATCAATATTTAATAGCATGCTATTCAGCTTCCAGGTGTTTGAGTATTTTGGGTTGTTTTTATTGTAGTTTATTTCTAATATTATGCCATCGTGGTCTGCGAAGACGCTTTTTATGATTTCAATTTTCTTGAATTTGGGGATACTTTGCTTGTGACCCAATATATGGTCTATTTTTGAATATGTCCTATGAGCATTTGAGTAGAATGTATATTCCCTGGCTTTCGGGTGAAGTGTTCTGAAGATGTCTATTAAGTCCATCTGATCTAGTGAGTCATTTAGGATTGCTGTATCTTTGCTGATTATTTGTCTAGAGGACTTATCCAGTGCTGTCAGTGGTGTATTAAAGTCCCCTACTATGATTGTATTGTTGTCGATGTCTCCTTTCATATCTTCCAGGAGTTTTTTTATGAATTTGGGTGCTCCTGCATTGGGTGCATATATGTTTACCAGGATTATATCTTCTTGTTGTATTGATCCCTTTAGTATTATGAAGTGGCCTTCCTTATCTCTTGTTATGGCCTTCACTTTGAGGTCTATTTTGTCCGATATAAGTATTGCTACCCCAGCTTTCTTTTCCTTTCCATTTGCCTGAAAGATATTTTTCCATCCTTTCACTTTCAGTCTGTGTGAGTCCCTTCTAATGAGGTGGGTTTCTTGTAGACAGCAGATGTATGGGTCATGTTTTTTTATCCATTCAGCCACTCGATGTCTTTTGTTTGGAGCATTTAGTCCGTTTACGTTTAAAGTTATTATTGAAAGGTAGTTGTTTGTAGGCATTTCTGTTTTTGTGTGGCTGTTTTCTTTCTGAGCTTTTTATTTCTTATTTTTATACCAGTCCCTTTAGCATTCCTTGCATTGCTGGCTTGGTGGTGATAAACTCCCTTAGCCTTTTTTTGTCTGTGAAGCTTCTTATTTCCCCTTCAAGTTTGAATGATAGCCTTGCTGGATAGAGTATTCTTGGATTCAGTCCTTTGCTTTGCATCACTTTGTAAATTTCCGTCCATTCCCTTCTGGCCTGATGTGTTTCTGTTGAGAAATCATTTGACAATCTAATGGGAGAACCCTTGTATGTAACTTTCCGTCTCTCTCTTGCAGCCTGTAAGATTCTCTCTTTGTCCTGAACATTTGCCATGGTAATTATGATGTGTCTTGGTGTGGGTCTTTTTGGGTTCACCTTGTTTGGGACTCTCTGGGCTTGTGTGACTTTTTTCTTCCCCACCTCAGGGAAGTTTTCTGATATTATTTCTTCTAATAGGTTTTCTAATCCTTGTTCATCCTTCTGTTGTTCTGGTACCCCTATTATTCGTATGTTGTTTCGTTTCATGTTGTCCCAAAGCTCCCTTAGGCTCTCCTCCTGTCTTTTCATTTTTTTCTCCAATTGCAGTACGTTTTGGGTGTGTTTTGCTTCCTTGTCTTCTAAATCACTAATTCGGTCCTCCGCTTCTCCTAGTCTACTGTTGATACTTTCAATGGAGTTTTTCATTGCAGCTATATCACTCTTCATATCTTCTTGGGTCTTACTTAAGTTGTTGATTTTTTCATCTGTTTCTTCTAGCTTCTTCCATATGTTATCGATTTTTTCATCTGTTTCTTCTAGCTTCTTCCATATGTTATCGATTTTTTCATCTGTTTCTTCTTGCTTCTTGCTGAGGTTGTCGATTTTTTCCTCCATCCGGTTTATGCACTCTAGGACCCTTATTCTGAATTCTTTTTCTGTCATGTTGCATGCCTCTGTATTACTTAGCTGCTTTTCTGGAGAGTCCTCCTTCTCTTTCCTTTGGGGGTTTCTTTGTCTACCCATGTTTGATCTCACTGACATATCTAGACGTTGAGTCGTTCAGTGGCTGCTCCCTTGGTGGCAGTGACTCCTTGGTCTGCGGTTCCTCTTCGGGCGGTTGCGGTAGCAGCTGCTCTTCAGTTGGCAGCAACTCCTCTGGTGGGTGCTGTTCACAGCTGTGGTGGCTCTTCTGGCTGGTGGGGCGAGGTTTCACGTACAGCTGCTGTTCCTCAGCAGAGGGTGTGGTGCTCAGGAGGTTGCTGTTGCTTGGATCTGCTGTGTTGATTTAAAGGCACAAAATACAACACAACAAGGCACCACGTACCAGGCACTATACACAAATATATTCACGATATTAATAACCCCAAATAAAGGTGACCACCTGAATTAAGAGAATTAGGGGATAAGGAAGAAGGAAGAGAAAAAGAGAAAAGAGAAAAAGAAAAGAAAATTAGGGACCAAAAAAAGGAGTGCAAAAATGAAAGTGGGAAAAAGGAGGGGGGAAAGTAAAAGCGAGAAAAGAAAGGAAAAGAAAAAAAAAGAGCGAAAAGAGAGAATGAAGTGGAAGAGGGGAAGAGACTTTTTATATGAGGAGAATGCTCCTATAGAACAGCCATTAATCCCAACAAATTCCAGCAACAGCTCCCTGGAGATAAATGCAAACTAGAAACAACCAATAATATAACGATGAAAATAGAATGGAGAACACTAATCCCAAAATAAAATAAAGAGAAAATAAAATGGCACTTTAAAAAAAATGGTAAAATGGTAGCAGTAATAATACTGGTTAAAAATAAGAAGGTAGTAATTAAAAGGGTAAAATCAGGTGATGGAAAAAAGAAGAAAAAAAAAAAGAAGAAGAGGAAAAGAAAAAAAAAGAAAAAAAAAAAGAAAAAAAATTGGTTTCTTAGTTAAAAGGTGAAAAAAAAAAAAAAAAAAATATTGCAGTAGTGAAGGTCCTTCGGTTCTTCTATTCTTCAGTGTGGCTCGCCTTAGACCTGCCAGGTATTCAGGAGAGTGTTGAGTTTCCCTGCGATACACTGTTCCTCTGTGTTGTAAACCACAGTCCTTATTTTAAAGCAAGCCGCATTTGTTTCCCAGACTGCCTTATTTTGTGTTTAGCAAAGAGTCAGTTTGTGGGTCAGCCTCTGGGTGGCAGTGTTCTGGGGTTGGCCTCTGAGGCTACAGGGCCTCTCTGTCCAGTGGAAGTTCACTGCCCAGAGCTGGCTGCGTAAGAGTTACCAGTGCTGTGTTGTTGCTGGGATTGAAAATCCCTCTATAGGCCAGACCCTGTTAACTCCCAGGGACTGATCAGGTTATTTTAATCCTTGATCTCCTACAGGGTGGAATCTGGGTGTGGCTGTGCTCCTTGCCTGGGGGCTGGGGGGAGGAGTCTCACTCTCCGGAGAGAATGGCTGCCTCAGACGTGGGCTCAGGGGTGTCTCAGCACTCAATTCGCTGCCACCTCTCCCGGCCCCCCTTCTCTCCTCAGTCTCTCCCCAGATTCCACTCCTCCGCACACTCTCCCTCTCTTCAGCACAGGTGAGTGTCTGTATCCGAAATGTCCCATGAACAGGATTCAGTGAAAACAAACAAACAAACGCCGGCCGCGGAAACGGGGAAGGCTTGGTTTCTGTAAGCTTCTTCTCTTACCGGGACTGCATGGTCTGGTCAGCTCTTCAGGCTGCCCCCTTTAGGCTCAGTCCTCTGTGATCACAGACCGAGCTCTCAATTCCCCCGTCAGCGCCAGGAATCCCGCGGTTCTCCTTTCCCCCGTCAGGGGCTGTGCCTGTCCCAAGGGACGCGGCTGTCTGCCACGCGGTCTCCCTCGGACTCTCTGGGCTCAGAGGTCTGGCAAACTTTCCTGCCCAAATCCCTGGTTTTTTTACCTTTCCAGGGGAGTTCTGCTCTTCCCGGCTGTAAACTGTCTCGCCAGCTGAGGAATTTCGCCAATTCGGGGTGGATGTTACTAGTTTCAGCTGCTCACTCCATTTGCTCAGGGACACGACCTGGGACGCGTCTGCCTATACCGCCGCCATCTTCCTCTCACATCTGATTTCTTTTTTTCATTATTTAAAGAATACTTTATTAGTTTCTGTAATCAAACCCATGTAGATTAAGACCTTACATATTTTATACAGTGCGTTACCCCTGTACAAATGGAAAAAATTATGTTTAACGTTTCTAGACCAATATAGCTGTTAATTTCTGTACAATGCCAACCCAACACAGTACAACTGGGATAGTTTTTCCAAAGTTGACAGCACAGCTAAAGTTTCCAAAAATTCAAATTATATATATGTATGTATGTGTATATCTGTATATATATATATATATATATATATATATATATATATATATATGTATATATATAAAGGCCAATAGCCGTATGTTATGCATCAATAGCAGCAACAGCTTTTCCAGGTTCTGTAGTCATCTGAACAAAATTATAGACATCCAGCACACTCCAATAATAATAATAAAAAAAAGAAGTAAAAAACAAATCTCCAGAAAACAGCCAAGTTCTGTTGCTGTTGTGGTTCCTGGCACCATTTTTTTTTAAGCTTCTCCATCATCATCTGGAAAGAAAACATTCTAGGATAACGTCTTTAAAAACAGCTCTGATAAAGCACGGTCACGACTGCGTACCATAAAGCAGGTACAAGGTATTTTCCATTCACAGAGGTATGATACCGTACTGCCCTACGTCTATAATACTAGCGGTACAGTTAAAAAGGCATTGTTGGAGACTTGGTTCTGTTTTCCCAGCAGAGGCCCCAAGGGCGGGAGACTCACGTCCTCAGACAGGTTTCCTCTCATCGGTGGCATAGTTCTGGGTACGGACTGCTCTTCATGAGTTTCACCTAAAAACCGTTTCAGAAAGACCAAAATGAACAAACGAAAACAGTATCATGGCTGGCAGCGGATTACATGTAAAGTTTGGTAATATCAGAAATATTGGTACTTGGTAATCATCATAGAGGGTGGAAACATTACCAGCCGGTAAATATTGTTGCCCTAGGGCGAGGCTGTCTGGAGCAGTGCTCGGATAGAAGTGTTTTCACTGGGATTTAGCCTTAGTTAATGCGTCCACATCAGCTTTGTCTGCTTCTGCAAGGCGTTTTTGATGGCTCTCAGACAGGATATTGTCTTCCTTTCTTCGGGACCTCTGGGAAACATCATCCTTGGGAACTATAGAACCTGCCGTGTTCACTTCCTGCAGCACCATCAGTAGCCAATCCTGCCTTTCCTCCGTGTACAGATTTTTATGCAGGTTATGCATAAGCTGTATTTCACCCACAGTTTTCCTCCTGTAGGGAACAGAAACAGAGAAGCCACTCCATCAGTCCTCTTCCCATCATAAAGCCAGCCCTAAAAATGCAATCCCCAAGTCCTCGGCCCTGCAGAACAAGAAACGGTACTTACTTCAGGGGTCTCCCATCTGATTTTGCAAAAACACAGATTGCAAACAGGACGATCATTACTTTAACCATGTCATGTACAGACATCATCTTTACTAAGAAGGTAAAGCAGAATGCAGGTATCTAAAAAATATTTTTAGTATTCCAAATTATAAAATTTAATTTAGCAGTTTATATTTATAACTATTCAACTGTACACAGACTGATACAGCAACTAATTGCATTGCTTTTCATGAAGGACTTTTGGAATCAGCCTCTTTTTAAAAAAATATATTTTTATTGATTTCAGAAAGGAAGGGAGTGGAAGAGAGAGATAGAGACATCAATGATGAGAGAGAATCATTGATTGGTTGCCTCCTACACACCTCCTACTGGGGTTGAGCCCACAACCCAGGCATGTGCCCTTAACTGGATTCTAACCCAGGACCCTTCAGTCCCCAGGCTGACACTCTATCCACTGAGCCAAACCAGGTAGGGCCAACCTTTTTATTTTAGAGATACATTAGTATGTATTATATATACGCATAATTTGACTTAGAAATTAGACTGAATAATTTTACTTTATAGGTAAATTGTTTTTACTTTTTAGGTATCTTTTTGAGAGTTCTTGTGCAAGTTTTAATATATGAATTTTAAGCGACATGAGGAATGAACATGCTAACTTTTTAGAATTCTACATTTTATGTTACTTATGACTAAATGTTTATAATTTTCTTGGAAATGGCTAATTCTCTTACTTAGGTAAATTATTAACACTATTTATTTACTTAGAAAATTTCTTTATCATAAGTCAACGTCATTTCAGGCACTGCAATAATAACCATAAATACCAAATTAATAATCTCTGTGTTATAGATATTTTTACTAAATTAGTACATACTTCTACCATTTAAAAATGTGTCAAAGTATTTAGAAATCATCTAATTAATTATAAGAATTTAGAGCTTTGGCTTCATATAAAATGCTTGTTTGTTTGTTTTTCTTCAGCTTCTTTTAAAACTATCCTGTCTGAGTATAATTGTTAGCACTTTCCTCTTTTGTTCATGAAGCTTTTCATCTCAAAATAGACTAGTCTAATCTTAATCTGCACTTCAGTAATTGCAGAGCCTATTGTTATAGAAGTGCTTTTTCTTAATGCTTAATGTTCTCTTTTCACATACACATAGAGTCACTATGCACTCATATTTTAAAGGGAAATGGCTTTGTTTATTTATTTTTGAAGTGGTGCATCATTCAGAAGTGGTATAAGAAATAGAGCACTATGAGGAGGCCAGATCCGACCCAGCAAAGCCTGCCCGCTGCTGCATCTCCCCCACCCCTCACATCCATGTCTGATGTCCAGCCACCATCGCCATCATGCCCAAGAGAAAGGCTGAAGGGGATGCTAAAGGTGAAGGAGATAAAGCCAAGGTGAAGGACGAACCATAGAGAAGATCTGCCAGGTTACCAGCTAAACCTGCTCCTCCAAAGCCAGAGCCCAAGCCTGAAAAGGCCCCTGCAAAGAAGGGAGAGAAGATACGAAAAGGGAAAAGGGAGAGCTGATGCTGGCAAAGATGGGAATAGCCCTGCAGAAAATGGAGATGCCAAAGCAGACCAGGCACAGAAAGCTGAAGGTGCTGGAGGTGCCAAGAGAAGTGTGTGCATTTTTGATAGCTGTGTATTTCTGGTGACTGTACAGTTAGAAATACTATTTTTTATCAAGTTTTATAAAAATGCAGAATTTTGTTTTACCTTTTTTCTTTTAAGCTATGTTGTTAGCACACAGAACACTTCATTGTTATTTTGGGGGGAAGGACATATAGTACTAATAGAATGTCTTCAAAGCTGGACTGAAATGGGGGAAAATACCTTTCCCTTCTAGTTTTGAGAAACTTCCTCTTGGTTCCTGGGAGGAGGATCTCTTGATGTTGACACACATTAGCCATCTTGGCACAATCACCTTGTCGTGTGGGAAACTAAAATTTGTTTTTCTGTCCTTTTCTTCCTCTCCACTTCAGCATAGACTTTGGCTCTCTTAAGCCCAGAGACCTATTGGGACCTGACCCAAAAACGTTGACTTCCAGTCGGTTGGGCAATCTGAGCTTTCCAGTGTCACCACTGAGATGGCCTCCCTCTAAAGAACAGCAGTTCCTTTTTAGATTGTGGATCTACTGATATGCTCTGCCATTTTCATTTCATTTCCTGAAAGTCAGGGTCGGCTTGTGAAAAGTTGTTACACAACATGCTCAATGTGGAATGTCAACCCTCACTCTAAGCTTTCCCTATTCACAGCATCAGATGAAGACTTCACTGGGTTTTATGGTGGCTTTCTGATTTTGGTAATTCATTGAAGAAGGGAGTTTGAAAGGTGTTGTATACTGTTAATAATTGTCTGCCCATGTCCTGCCTGAAATACCATGATTGTTTATGAAAAGTATCTTTAATAAAGCTGGATGCATTTTGAAAAAAAAAAGAAGTAGTATAAGAAATATGATCTACTACATTTATTTTCCTTGAGCAATATGAAGCATCCCTGTGCAATATAAAGCTATTGATGGAGCAACAAATACATGTGCTTCAATTTGGTTTATGTTATTTTTAAAATGGCACTGTAGCTAGAAGATGGGAGCATTGGTGTCTAATCTTAGCTCTATCACATTCACCTAGTGCAGCAGTTCTCTACCTGTGGGTCACGATCCTTTTGGGGGTCGAACGACCCTTTCACAGGGGTCATCTAAGACCATCGGAAGACACATATATAATTACATATTGTTTTTGTGATTAATCACTATGCTTTAATTATTTTCAATTTGTAACAATGAAAATACATTCTGCATATCAGATATTTACATTATGATTCATAACAGTAGCAAAATTACAGTTATGAAGTAGCAACGAAAGTAATTTTATGGTTGGGGTCACCACAACATGAGGAACTGTATTAATGGGTCGCGCCATTAGGAAGGTTGAGAACCACTGACCTAGTGGCTTCAGACATCTCTGCTTTGTTTCCTATTCTTAATAGAGACAAGCTTCTTACAAGAATGTCATGAAAAAGCTCAAAAATCAGGTGTAAAATACCCTTACAATTCATGTACAGTTTTCAGAATAGGAAATTAGAAAAAAGCTTTATTAAAGGGAATAAATACTCAGCAGTAAAACTGTTTCTCCAGCTCTAGTATACAACTTGAGTTCTCTGTGAGTCATAAAACAAACAGTTTGATAAGGATATTCTGCAGGAAAAAAATGCACTTTTTACTCAATTTAATAAATGTATATTGGTTATTTAAATCAGAATGATTTTTTCCTCATTAGTCTGTTTTATTTGAAAATATCAGTAAGATACCATTAAAGCATATGATGCCAAATTATAATTTTGTGTGTGTGATTTCAGATAAATTTAGGAAAAGCAAGGCCCCTCAAAAGACTTTCATCACAAAAATAAATGATTTCAGAGTATTTTAGTAGCATAAATTTATTTTGTGTTGTGGCATTTTATATTAAACACTAGAGGCCCGGTGCACAAAAATTTGTGCACTCAGGGGGGTCCCTCAGCCCGGCCTATGGCCTCTTGCAGTCTGGGACCCCTCGGAGGATGTCAACCTGCTGGTTTAGGCCTGCTCCCTGGGGGAACGGGTCCAAGCTTGCAGTCAGACATCCCTCTGGCAGCTCGGCAGCCCTCGGGGGATGTCCACTTGCCAGCAGGGAGCAGGCCTAAGCTGCAGTCAGACATCCTTAGCGCTGCTGAGGAGGCGGGAGAGGCTCCCACCACCACTGCTGTACTGGCAGCCATCAACCTGGCTTGTGGCTGAGCAGAGCTCCCCCTGTGGGAGCACACTGACCACCAGGGGGAAGCTCCTGCATTGAGTGTCTGCCCCCTAGTGGTCAGTGTATGTCTTAGTGACCAGTTATTCCTAGTCGTTCTGCTGTTAGGGTCAGTTTGCATATTACCCTTTTATTATGTAGGATAGAGGCCTGGTTCATGGGTGGGGGCCAACTGGTTTGCCCTTAAGAGTGTCCTGGATCAGGGTGGGGTTCCCGCTGGGGTGCCTGGCCAGCCTGGGTGAGGGGCTGATGGGTGTTTGCAGGATGGTCACACCCTTTCAGAAAGGGGGTCCTCACTGGGGTGGCTGACCAGCCTGGGTGAGGGGCTGATGGCTGTTTTCAGGCTGGTCACACCCCCTTCAGGGTGTGGGGTCGACTGGGGTGCCTGGCCAGTCTGGCTGAGGGGCTGAGGGCCATGTTCAGGCTGGCCAACCCCCCCCCCTTCCCCCCGCCCCGGCGACAGAAGCTCCCAGCCTCTCCTTTTTTTCCTTTTTTCTTTTTTATTCTGGGATTTATTTACTTTCTATAATTAAAACTTTGCTGCTTTGAGTGGAGCTCAGAGCTGCCATGACAAGGGTGAAGCTTGGCTTCCTCCATTACCAGGGACAACCCACTCCTGCTTGCTCCAGCTCCGTGGCCATGGCTGGATAAAAGCAGGTATCTGGGGTGTATTTACCTTCTATAATTGAAACTTTGTTTCTTTGGGTGGAGTTCAGAGCTGCCATGGCAGACAGGAAGCTTGGCTTCCTCCATCATTGGGGCAACCAAGCCTCCAGCTTGCTCCAGTTTCCTGACTGCGGCCGTTATATTGGTTGGTTAATTTGCATATAGTCGCTCTGATTGGTTGGTGGGCGTGGCTTAAGGCATAGTGAAAGTACGGTCAATTTGCATGTTTGTCTTTTATTAGTGTAGATAACTCAAACCATCCTTTCACATTGTAACTTGAACAAACAGCATACTACTTGTAGAAAATTATACACATCAAATTATACCTAGATTATAACAATTATCTTATATGAAATTTAAAACAGAAAGTAAAGATTACTCACAACACAATGTCTTAGGACAATATATTTCAGGTATCTTGGCAGCTGGTGCTCTCTTAAAGTTGAGTAAACTTGAGGGAGCTGATGAATTCGATCGTAGACGCTTAAGGGTGACTTTTATATGTAGGTCTTCCTCTCAGCAAGAGAAGCTTTTTTTTGTTACAGATGATATCACTCCCAATTCTCTGGATCACAAGTATAGGGCAGAACAACAGACAACCCCATTGGGTGGTGCCCATTCTTCTTAAGATTTAGATCATTATATATTAATAAGAACACAGTATGGAGCTGGGAAAAAGAATTATGCAAGGATTTCTAACAAATATTACATTGCAGTTCTGAATTCTGACTGGGTTAATGAATTTGACATATTAAAAAAACTGATATCAATGATATACGGTGAAGTCATCATTTTAAGTAAAACTTAAAACTTAAACTAAAACTTAAAACATTGAAAATAAAAACTGAAAATAAGTATATGTTTATAACCATATTATTGATACAGTTATTATGAGAATTATAATGAATCATATTATGTTATTCTTACTTTACAAGCCATTTTCAAGTAATCCACATCAGTCCTTATCATCTTTCAAAATAATAGATATAGTGCCTTTCTTAAAGGTGTTAAAAATATTTTGAGAAAATGCTCTTAGTATATAATGAATTGTAAAGGCTTCAAAGGTGAAATAATTTAAACCTTTATATAACTTACATTTTATTAATGCATTTAATTTGCAATAATAAGACATTTGATACACACTAACTATATGAAGACTTTACATATACTATTCCACTGAGGTTTTGTAGCAATCCTTTCAATAAATACAATCATTAGCCCCATTTTCATGTGAGGACACTGAGGTTTGGAAAGTAAAGAAAATGGAATTCAACAATGGTTTTTATGACTCCAGAGTCATTTTTATTCTTACTACCTCAATTTCCCCCTAGAAACACATCAAAATTACAACTAAACTAAAAGTACAGATCAACCATCATTCAGAACTACCTGAAATCTAGCTGACTGGAAGTCCTCTAACTTGGGAATTAAGAAGAAGCCTCATTGAGACTGGAAGGAGGGGCGGTGACACAAAACACGTGTGTGAGAGGGATATCTTGGTTGTGAAGCCCCCTCTTGAGGAGTGAGGGCTCATAGCCTCACATCAGGCCTCCTAAACAGAGTTCCAGTACCAGGGAGAGAAGTCCCCATAACTTCTGGCTATAAAAACTAGTGGGGATTGTGACTGCGTGAGACCATCTGGGCATAAGCCACATTTTAAATGCATATGTGGCTATGGTATTGGACAGCACAGAACACAGAACATTTCCATCATCACAGGCAGTTGTATTGGACAGTATTGACCTAAATAGGTCAGGGCTGTGTATTTTACACTCCTGATGTATCTTGTGCATTTCTTTTAGAGCACTTATCAAAGTTAATAATGAATTAATGTCTGTCTTCCATACTAAATTATTGGCCCCATGAAGACAAGAACTGTGTCTATTTTGCTTGCTGGTGTATGTCCAGTGCCTAATATAGTACACGGCAAGTAATGAACCCTAAGTAGATATGTATCAAATGACAAATAAATAAAGTTATATTCTAAAACATACAAAAACTCTATTCCATGGAATTTGGGGTTCAGACTAGAAATATGATCAGTAGGATTGGGCATAGGCAAATACTTTTGCATTCAAGTTTCAAATCACTTTCTCCCTTGCTGAGTATTTCATTATCTTTCCTGAAATGAAGAGTACAAAAGTATCTAGCTACTAAGATTTGGGGACCAGGTACTTTGATAATATTACTGAAAGGATGATGTTCAATATATAATCATTTCACAATATATGTAAATCAAACCATCATGTTGTACACCTTTAACTTAGTGATGTATGTCTATTATTTTTCAATAAAACTGGAAATAAAACCATTTTATGTTGTTCTTCCTAGTCATGATCCATTTAAACATGTTGGTATTACCTATAACCAAAAAGATATTTTTTAAAAATATATTTTATTGATATTTTACAGAGAGAAAGGGAGAGAGATAGAGAGTTAGAAACATCGATGAGAGAGAAACATCAATCAGCTGCCTCCTACACATCTCCCACTGGGGATGTGCCCGCAACCCAGGTACATGCCCTTGACCGGAATCGAACCTGGGACCCTTGAGTCCGCAGGCCGTCGCTCTATCCACTGAGCCAAACCAGTTTCTGCCAAAAAGATATTTTTATAACAAATAAAAAATTCTTTACTTCACGTTTTTAGAACCATGATCATTAAATTTTATTTTGCATTGAAAGATGAGAGAGAGGTTAAAGAGTGCAATTTTATTCTTTTATAAATTATGCAATACATACTTTAAAAAGAATAAACAGCCAGGCTGGAACAGAAATAGGATAATTAAAAGACTCTTGAATAAAGTTAAATCAAAATAATCAATTAAATTATAGGTATCATGGTTAGGAATGGATTACATATAAAGTTTGGTAATATTAGAAATATTGGTGCTTGGTAATCATAATAGAGGGTGGAAACATTAGCAGCATGTAATAGTGTTGCCCTCGGCTGACTGGAGCAGTGCTCTGATACATGTGTTTTCACTGGGATTTAGCCTTAGTTAATGCGTCCACATCAGCTTTGTCTGTGTATCCAAGGCTTTTTTGATGGCTCTCAACCAAGACATTGTCTTCCTTTCTTTGGGGCCTCTGGGAAACATCATCCTTGGGAACTACAGATGCTTGGCGGGAAACAAAATTATACACATCCTGCAGCTTCTTCCGTAGCCACTCTGTCCTTTCCATCGCGTTCAGATGTTTACCCCGGTTATGCATAAGCTGTATTTCACTCACAGATCTCCTTCTGTAGGGCACAGAAACAGAGAAGCCATTCCATTAGCTCTCCTCTTCTCATCATAAAGCCAGCCCTAAATATCCAATCCCCAAGTCCTCACCCTGCAAAATGAGAAACGGTACTTACTTCATGGGTTTCCCTTCTGATTTTGCAAAAACATAAATTGCAAACAGGACGATCATTACTTTAACCATTTCTTTTGCATACATCATCTTCAATAAAAAGGAAAAGTAAAATGCAGGTATTTAAAAATATTTTTACTATTCCACATTATGTAATTAACTTTAGCAGTTTACATTTATAACTACACAACTGTACACAGAGTGGTACAGCAACTAATTGCATTGGTTTTTATGAAGGACTTTTGTAATCAGCCTCTTTATTTTACAGATACATTAGTATGTATCATATATACACATAATTTGACATAGAAATTACACAGATTAGTTTTACTTTCTAGGTAAATTAGTAATACTGTTTAGTGATCTTTTTGAGAATTCTTGTGCAAGTTTTAATATATGAATTTTAAGCCACATGAGGAATGAAAATGCTTACTTTTTAGAATTTCCTCCTACATTTTATGTTGCTTATGACCAAGTGCTTATAATTTGCTTGGAAAATGGCTAATTCTCTTAGGTAAATTATTAACACTGTTTATTTACTTAGAAAATTTCTTTTTCATAAGTCAACGTCATTTCAGGCACTGCAATAATAACCATAAATACCAAATTAATAATCTCTGTGTTATAGATATTTTTACTAAATTAGTACATACTTCTACCATTTAAAAATGTGTCAAAGTATTTAGAAATCATCTAATTAATTATAAGAATTTAGAGCTTTGGCTTCATATAAAATGCTTGTTTGTTTGTTTTTCTTCAGCTTCTTTTAAAATTATCCTGTCTGAGTATAATTGTTAGCACTTTCCTCTTTTGTTCATGAAGTTTTTCATCTCAGAATAGACTAGTCTTATCTTAATCTGCACTTCAGTAATTGCAAACCCTATTGTTACAGAAGTGCTTTTTCTTAATGTTTAATGTTCTCTTTTAACATACACATAGAGTCACTATGCACTCATATTTTAAAGGGAAATGGCTTTATTTATTTATTTTTGAAGTGGTGCATCATTCAGAAGTGGTATAAGAAATAGAGCACTATGAGGAGGCAAGATAGACCCAGGTCCCAGCAAAGCCTGTGCCCTGCTGCATTTCATCCCTCCCACAACCGCCACCTCCTACCACCGCCCCGCATCCCTTCTTATGTCCTGCCACCATGGACATCATGCCCAAGAGAAAGGCTGAAGGGGATGCTAAAGGTGAAGGAGATAAAGCCAAGGTGAAGGACAAACCACAGAGAAGATGTGCCAGGTTATCAGCTAAACCTGATCCTCCAAAGCCAGAGCCCAAGCCTAAAAAGGCCCCTGCAAAGAAGGGAGAGAAGGTACGAAAAGGGAAAAGGGAGAGCTGATGCTGGCAAAGATGGGAATAGCCCTGCAGAAAATGGAGATGCCAAAGCAGACCAGGCACAGAAAGCTGAAGGTGCTGGAGGTGCCAACTGAAGTGTGTGCATTTTTGATAGCTGTGTATTTCTGGTGACTGTACAGTTTGAAATACTAGTTTTTATCAAGTTTTATAAAAATGCAGAATTTTGTTTTACTCTTTTATTTTTTAAGCTATGTTGTTAGCACACAGAACACTTCATTGTTATTTTGGGGGAAGGACATATAGTACTAATAGAATGTCTTCAAAGCTGGACTGACATGGGGGAAAATACCTTTCCCTTCTAGTTTTGAGAAACTTCCTCTTGGTTCCTGGGAGGAGGATCTCTTGATGTTGACACACATTAGCCATCTTGGCACAAACACCTTGTCGTGTGGGAAACTAAAATTTTTTTTCTATCCATTTCTCCCTCTCCACTTCAGCATAAACTTTGGCTCTCTCAAGCCCAGAGACCTATTGGGACCTGTCCCAAAAACGTTGACTTCCAGTCGGTTGGGCAATCTGAGCTTTCCAGTGTCACCACTGAGATGGCCTCCCTCTAAAGAACAGCAGTTCCTTTTTAGATTGTGGATCTACTGATATGCTCTGCCATTTTCATTTCATTTCCTGAAAGTCAGGGTCGGCTTGTGAAAAGTTGTTACACAACATGCTCAATGTGGAATGTCAACCCTCACTCTAAACTTTCCCTATTCACAGCATCAGATGAAGACTTCACTGGGTTTTATGGTGGCTTTCTGATTTTGGTAGCTCATTGAAGAGGGGAGTTTGAAAGTTGTTGTATACTGTTAACCATAGCCCCATATCCTGCCTGAAATACCATGATTGTTTATGAAAAGTATCTTTAATAAAGCTGGATGCAGTTTGGGGGTGGGGGGAAAGAAGTAGTATGAGAAATATGATCTACTACATTTATTTTCCCTGTGCGACATAATATAACGCTATTGGTGGAGCAACAAATACATGTACTTCAATTTTGGTTTATGTTATTTTTAAAAAGGCACTGTAGCTGGAAGACGGCAGCATCGGTGTCTAATCCTAGGTCTATCACATTCACCTAGTGACGTCAGACATCTCTTCTTTGTTTCCTATTCCTAATAGAGACAAGCTTCTTACAAGAATGTCATGAAAAAGCTCAAAAATCAGCTTTTTACAATTCATGTACAGTTTTCAGAATAGAAAATTAGAAAAAAGTTTTATTAAAGAGAATAAATATTCAGTGGTAAAACTGTTTCTCCAGCTCTCGTATACAACTTGAGTTCTCCATGAGTCATAAAACCAACAGTTTGATAAGGATATTCTGCAAGAAAAATGGACTACTAACTCAATTTAATAAACATATATTGGTTATTTAAATCAGAATGATTTATTCCTCATTAGTCAGCTTTATTTGAAAATTTCAGTAAGATACCATTAAAGCATATGATGCCAAATTATAATTTTTTTGTGGGTAATTTCAGATAAATTTAGAAAAAGCAAGGCCCCTCAAAAGACTTTCATCACAAGAATAAATGATTTCAGAGTATTTTAGTAGCATAAATTTATTTCGTGTTGTGGCATTTTATATGAAACATAACTCTAACCCTCCTTTCACATTGTAACTTGAACAAACAGCATGCTACTTGTAGAAAATTATACACATCAAATAATACCTAGATTATAACAATTATCTTATATGAGATTTAAAACAGAAAGTAAAGATTACTCACCACACAATGTCTTAGGACAATATCTTTCAGGGATATTAGCAGCTGGTGCTCTCTTAAAGTTGACTAAACTTGAGAAAGCTGATGAATTGGATTGTAGACGCTTAAGGGTGACTTTTATATGTAGGTGTTCTTCTCACCAAAAGAAGCTCTTTTATTGTTACAGATGTCATCACTCCCAATTCTCTTGATCGCAACTATAGGACCAGAACAACAGATACCCCCATTGGGCGGTGCCCATTCCTCTTAAGATTTAGATCATTAGATATTAACAGAAAAACAGTAGGTGGCTGGGAAAAAGAATTATGCAAAGATTTCTAACAAATATTAAATTGCAATTTTGAATTCTCACTGGGTTAATGAATTTGTATTATACAAAAAACTGATTTCAATGATTTATGGGGAAGTCATCATTTTAAGTAAAACATCATCACTGAAAATAAGTACATGTTTATAACCATATTTTTGATACAATTATTATGAGGATTATAATGAATCCTATTATGTTATTCTTACTTTACAAGCCATTTTCAATTAATCCACATCAATCCTGTACATCTTTTAAAATAATAGATATAGTGCTTTTCTTAGAGGTGTTAAAAATATTTTGAGAAAATGCTCTTAGTATATAATGAATTTTAAGCACTTCATTTTTATTCTTACTCCCTCACTTTCCCCCTAGAAACTAACAGATCTCCCTTCTTTGAACTCCAGTCTTCTTGACTTTAATTTGCCTCGCCCTTTGCAGCTGCTTTGCTCACGTCTGGATTCTTTTTTTCTTTTTTCTTTTTTCTTTTTATATTTTATTGATTTTTCACAGAGAGAAAGGGAGAGAGACAGAGAGTTAGAAACATTGATGAGAGAGAAATATCGATCAGCTGCCTCCTACACATCCCCCACTAGGGATGTGCCCGCAACCCAGGCACATGCCCTTGACCGGAATCGAACCTGGGACCTTTCAGTCCGCAGGCCGACGCTCTATCCACTGAGCCAAACCGGTTTCGGCCCGTCTGGATTCTTGTGTTCCCCACCTGATGATTGAAGACCTGCTCCAAAACCTAATGGAGGCATAATGCTGCCACCTATCCTATGTCAAATATGGCCACACCATGGCTCCATCTATTCCATCAAGGCCCTTTGAATGCCATTGGTGTACCTAGGATTCATTTAAGCAGCTTATCTCCCAGCTAAAGTCTCAGAATGGGATCAGTTCTCTTAGCTCTGGTCCTATCCAGGCTTCATGTTATCCCTTTTTCTCCTAACCATTGCCAAGGTGTGACTTAGACCATGTAAAGAGCCAGTCCAAGCTTAAATAGTACCTGAATGAGAGAGATCTGTTAGTCCTGCTCTGGGGAGTCCTCTCTAGTAGGCAAATATCACTTAATTTCAGAAGTGTCAGAGACAGACTGCAATGTGTCTGCAGTTATGAACCAGGTTGATAAAAATGTTCGAAAACATGATGTGAGAGGCTGTGGAGTGAAACGGAAAGGAGAGGAGAGGAGAGGAGAGGAGAGGAGAGGAGAGGAGAGGAGAGGAGAGGAGAGGAGAGGGGAGGGGAGGGGAGGGGAGGGGAGGGGAGGGGAGGGGAGGGGAGGGGAGGGGAGGGGAGGAGAGGAGAGGAGAGGAGAGGAGAGGAGAGGAGAGGAGAGGAGAGGAGAGGAGAGGAGAGGAGAGGTGAGGAGAGGAGAGGAGAGGAGAGGAGAGGAGAGGAGAGGAGAGGAGAGGAGAGGAGAGGGGAGGGGAGGGGAGGGGGAGGGGGGAGGGGGGAGGGAGAGAAAGCCTGGAGTGACTATATGGCTGTTTTTCATTTTTTTATAGAGTAACCATAACAAAGAAGGTATATTTTCTGTGGTTTAAGACGAAAGGACTGACTTCAATTGTTAACAAATACAAGGAGGCAGACTTGAGCTAACTTGGATAATATCATTGTTAAAATAAGGAATCAAGTACCTTCTAAATAGTGAGTTCTCTCATCACTGGAAATGTTCAAGTAGAGACTAGGTAAGCATTTATCGGGGAG